CAGAGAGGCTGCAGCCGCCGCCATGACCAGCAGCATGTGAAGACGCCAGTAAGCCACCAGCCACATGGCAAGGTATAGATGTATGGAAATGGATCAATTTAAGATAAAAGCACAGTTAGCAAGATAAGGACAGTTAGCAGGAAGCCTGCCACGGCCATACAGTTTGAAAGCAATATAAGTGTCTGTGTTTACTTGCTTGGGTCTGAGCGGCTGTGGGACTGGTGGGTGACAGATTTGTCCTGACAGTGGGCAAGGCAGGAAAACTCAAGCTACAACACTTCATTGTTGTTGTATGAATAACAAATAACTAGGTAAAGATGATTTTTAAAAAGTAATGTTCTGATAAGTTAATATGAAAGGACCCAGGTAGGATTCTGTGCACAGAAACCATTGGAATTTCTCAGTGGATGAATTTGAACATTTTGCTGCTCAATTTAGTATCCTTCATTTCTTTCGTTCCTTTTAATTTTAGGGAGAGCCAGGGCCCTATAGAAAGAACACAAGGCACTTGTGCTCTTGGAGATTTCTCAGTGCCTTGACAGGTACATCCTGTTCTAGACCCTCCATGAAAGTTCATAGTTTTTTCTTCCCTCTCTGCTTACATATCTGTTGTAAACACCACTAGGAATGCCATGTCTTCTACTTTGTCCCTCTGACTTGAGTGTGTTTCTCATCATCTGGCTCAAGCATCAGGTTCCTGGGAGGCCGTCTCTTAAGGTTGGTATCTGAACTGTCTCTCATAGGCTTGAGATTTGAATGATTGGTACCTGTTGATACTTTAGGAAGTAAGGGTCTGTCCAGAAGAAACAGATAATTGGGCTTTTAAGGGCTCTAGCTCTTTCTGAGTCTGGCCTTTGCTCTCCACTTCCTGTCTGTTGCTACATGAGGCGTCTCTATTCCACAGTCCCACCATCATTCCTTCCCTGCTATGATGGACAAAAAAAAAAAACACCCTTGGAACCATGAGCTAAAACAAGCCCCTCCTCCCGGAAGCTCCCATTTTCTGGCAGTTTGTCACAGTGATGAGAAAAGTTAGTCAATATTCTTATATATAGTAGTAATTCACTCAATATGTTATTCTTTAGGACTCATGGACTTTAGGACTCTTTGGCTATTCATTGTCCTCACACCAGCATCTATACAACTCCAGCACTAACTCACAATTTAAAACATCTGCTTCGTTGAAGCCTATTGGCTTTTAGTTTGAACCACACAAAATTACTCTATTTAGTTACTCAAAAAATTTCAATATAGGCTATTTTATGTCTTTAGCTAGTATTTCCTTCACATCTTACTTACACTAAAAACAACTAGCAGACACACCAGCTAGAAAGGATATTAAATACTTGAACTGAAATGAATGTTTGCATTAACCGCAGATCCCAGTGATTCTAAAGGTTTAATATTACCCAAATCATTAAAAGTTTGAAAAGAGCTAATGACTTTAAGCTTTTGCTGTGGACTTTTTTAAAAGCCCTAAGGTGATATTTAGGTACATGTGTTTATACAGTCATGGGTGAGAACCATTGGTGATGTCTTTTCTCTGGCTCTTTTTGCTATTCATTCACTCTAAAGAGAAGCTCAATGCTCTGATAATTTAATATATAATAAGCCACAAGGAAGAGGCTGGATTTCACTTTTGTCCACATTTTCAATGCTTGATGGCATATTCAGTTAGAAAATTGTTTTCTCATGGACTCTGCCTCACTGGACAGAATGAATGACTTAGGTTTGATTTGCATAGGCTTCTGTAGACTGAGAATGAAAGTAACATCAGTGGCGTTTAATGGTTACAGAAAGTAGCTTTTAAAATATTATATTGGCATACAGTTACATTACCCCACAGGAGGACAAGCTTGCCCTTAGTCACCAGTAACAAGAACAAAAACAGGTGTGCACATATCTACCCCGAAACAAAGCCGAAAAGACAGTCTTTCTGGTGATCATGATAAAGAAAAGTCAGTGGCTGACAACAGAAGGACCAGAACATCTGAATTACTTCCTTAGCGTTCTTTTGCGAGGCAGCTTAAAAGACAACAAAACAGTGGAGGGTAGACAGAAAAGTTGGGGCTAGATGCTTTCATCACAACAGACATATATAAGCTCAAGTCCTTTAAAGTCTTAACTCACTTCGGAGGTTCCCAAGGCCACTTGCTTATCCCTACTAGGCATAAGTGAGTCTATGTTTTTGAATATAGGAGAAAACTGCTGGGGAGTTTAATTTTCAACAGTATCTTCCAGGTCTGAGATTCTGCCATACACAGATTCCCCATTTATTCTTCCTACTTAAGTGTCATCAGCCAGGCCCAGAGGAAGGTCAGGATCAGAGGCTGAAATAAGCTTAACTATGTACAATGTTACTTATAGGGCTCTATCCAGGAGGTCATGGAACTCCCTAGCCAGGAAAGGTGACAGAGAGCCTCTCATTGTGCAAGCCAGCTGTCCCATGCTCTGATGTCCTATGATGTAATCCTATCCGTTCCTTAAAGATGTTGCCTTTGGGAGATTTTTAAGCTACTCTCCCTGCATCTATTTAACCCTGAGAACAACCAAGAGGATCAGAAGTCAGCTGTCTCTCATGGCGGGATTCCCCACAACCCCAAACATTGCAGGATGCATAGGAACAAGTTTCAACTGCACCCTGTGCAGCAGGTCCCTGGCCCAGGGTGGGGACAGCCACTGACAGCCGGCCGCTCTGCTCTCCTCAGGGACCCAGAATGCCGAGGGTCCAGCGGTCCAACAAGACAGCACATTACCCACTGCCTGCCGCCTCCCGCCCAAAGACCGCTAGGTGCCCAAGAGCTTCTAATTGACAGCTAAGATCTCAATCAAGGGTCCCTCCTCTCAAAGCTGAAAGAAACCAGGCGCATGGCAGTCTGGGAGATGTAGTCCTTTAAAATGCCAACACTCTCAAGATTCCCTCCAGAGTAGCCTAGAAGAGAAAGTAGTCAGTCTGATGCCACGGAGTCTAGCTATACAGTGTTACTGTGGCGGTAAAATTGAACTCCAAGGGACACTTGGGCGGCTTCTTGGGTGTGAATAGAGAGAACGGACTACCACTCCCATGCGGCTTCGCGCGGAGCAGGAGCCGGCTGCTCGCTTTGCGTGACCGCAGCAGGTTGGTCCTGGAGCAGATGAGCGAAGAATATTTAGGCGAAAGCGAGAGGAGGGGCGGGGGGGAGCGCGGGGCAGGAAGAGTACCTCGGCCAAGAAAATTATGCATGCGTTAGGCAAGCTCTGAGAGAATGGCTGTGGAAGGTAAGGGACGCTTGGGGCATTTTAAGTTCCCTCTTAAGCCGCGCACCCCAATTCACACATCCCTGATGAAGCTCGGCTCCGGCGGGGAGGAGAGAAAAGGGGGTGGCGGCGAGCGGGCCCCTTCCCCTTCATACCACTTGGTATATACTCACCTGAGCCCTGGAAGGCCAGGAGGCGTTTGATTCGCTTGCCTTTGAGCGACCTTTTAAGTGCGCAGGACCTCAGGGTAGGAGGTGAAGGAGAGAGCGCTCCCAGTCCCAAGCAATGTGCTGGGAATGGGTGGAAAGCCGGGGAAGTCCAGCGCGAGGGTTCGAACAGCCCGGACTTGCCCTTTTCCCTGTCCCCTACAGCGAGGGTAGGCTGGGGATGCTGGCTTTGCCATCCAAACGTGGGAGAAGACCCTAGCCAGGTGCGTCATCCAGAAGGCTGAGACTGCCCTTGGGTCGAGGACCCCTTGCTGTACGTACCCAGCAGTGGCTGCAGCAGCTTTACCCCTAGAAAGAGGGTGTCTTCGCACCTGTTCCTGTGTAGTCCTGCCCCAGGTTAGCGAAAGTTCACAGGATCGAGGTGTAGCCAGCCGCTTGGATTGGGAAAATTTATTCTTTGAAGATGGCCTTCCTCTTTCCTCGTGTAATTTTGAACTTCGAATTTGATTTGCCATTTGGATTGCACAGCCCTGCCTCTTTTGAACTTTCTGGTTAAGAGTTGGGTCGGGCAGTTTTTGAGGGATCCTAGTTTTCACGTCACTTTCACTTACTTTAGAGCACAGACTTTTTGTTCAGGGTAGTTCCTAGGGGCAAAGGGACTTGTGGAGAAGAAGTGTGTCTAATGTCAAATTAGAGGTCTCATTGTACCTCTATAATGAGATAAAATATGAGTGTGGGGTTACATGGGGAACCTACCTTCACTTCCAGAATTATGGTTCCCAAGCGCACTTAGGGCTACAGGGGACCTGAAGTAAGAAAAGGAAGGTATGGTTGCCAGCTACATCAGGCTGCTTGCCAAAGAGAAATGAGCCTGTTCCTTGCAGGCTACAGACAAGAAAAACCCACAGGGTTTCTTTCTTCTGCCTCACCTCTCTGTCCCAGGAGACAGAAAGGGAAATACTCTGACTCTGAAATAGCAACATGCTCAATCTCATGCTCAACACCTGTAAATGGTTGACACCTCTGGGCCATCTCAGGATCAGAGATTCTCAGCTTGATGCCTTTACTTTCAGCTTATTCAATTGTACCAACCAAAACGATCACCTCCCCAATACACAAACCCCTGCCCTTCTCTCAGGTAGTCAAATAGATAGGTAGGTAGGTAACAGATAGACAATAGATGGATAGATAGAGAGATAGAGATGATTGATAGATATAGGGATAGATAGATAGATTTAAGGTAGATAAGTAGATAGATAGATGATAGATAGATAGATAGATAGATAGATAGATAGATAGATAGATAGATAGATAGATATGTCACAGAAACAGAAAGCCAACAGAGTCCACTAATGAGCTTGAGAACAAAATCTGTTTATCTTCCACCACCTATTCACTTTACCCATCAGGTGACATTGATTATGATCTCTCTTTTGTGTCTCCAAGTGAGGGACACTCCCTCCTACTTGCTGGCAGTCCACAGTGTTCTTAAATATAATTTCCTGTTCACTCTGAGAACTATAGAATAGAATTAGTCATATTTCTTGCCTTGTGGGGGATTGTACCAGTAAAACCAGACCTTGCAAAAACAAGGGTTCTGAAAAGTGAGTGTAGACTTCAAAGAGCTTACGTTATGTTCTAGTGACTTCCTTGCCTGAAATACCTATGTCGTAGACAGGAGTCCCTGGGTCTGAATCACAAGGAGGATTGAAGCAGATGGGTGAAGAAAGTGTTTTAAACTTGCACTGCAAAGGAATTCCTGCCTGTAGTTTTGGCAAAGAGAGTTCTTTCAGCATGAAGTAGGCCCTTCCTTGATATTTTCCTATGGTCCATCAATGCTCAGGAAAGACAACATTTCCTCCAGGAACCCATTCCAGACCTTCCACTCTTCTGCCTCTCCAAGTCATGGGGACCTCCTACTTGACTCTTCCTTAGCACCTGTGCTTAAATCTGCCCTACACTTACCACACTTAGTATGTCTCTCACCGGACTCTGAGGCATCAGAGGAATGGAGACCATACACTCCAATTTCCCAGGCAATAGCATAGACCTTGGACCATAGCAGACCACCAAAAACTGCCAGACCCCCAAAAACTGCCAGTAGATTGCACAACAAACATTCATGGAATTTTTATAATTAACTCCCTAAAGGTGTCCAAATGTCAGAGAAAGGAAGTTTCAAGGTATTTATTCGAGGAAGGGTCCCCCTCCTTAGCCTCAATATTTGAATACTCAAAGCTACTGTTTACATCTGCTGCTCAGAGTTGCATTGTCCTCCTAGCACCAATGTTACTATTAGAATTGTGTGCCTTTGCACCATCAAGGTGCTAAATGTCTTATGCAAAATGACTATCACATACAGAAGTCCCAGGTCATGACCAAACATTGACCAGTTTACACATGTTCACTGAGAAATAGCCAGGGAAAGAGGAATTTTATCAGAGGAACTGGAAAGGAAATATAGTTTGTAATAGCATCTGGACTTTCATGTCTTTGTCTGGAAGAAAAAAAAATGGGCTTGCTACTGTTTGATGGTTGGGAATAGTGTAATAGAGGACAGGTCTTATAGAATGGGGCCTAGGACACAGGTTAACTATAAATGTTACTTTTACTCATTGTCATTCCTTTCCTTTAAGAGGAAGCCCCACTGCTTAGCACCTGTTTTACGACATGACATTTTACTTATTCATGCCAGCCACATCCTCTAATTAGTAACAAATTAGAAGGTTTTTATAATGCGTAATCCTCCTCTTAAGTAAACTTGAACTTGTAAAAATGTTAATTGCAAGTAGGGCCCTTACTCATTTTGCTGAATGTGTGGCTTTCTATTTAACATGGAAAGGGGTGCCCTTTGTTTAATGTTTTATGGCTACGGTCACACACACACACACACACACACACACACACACACACACACGTACACACACACACACACACACGTACACACGTATGTATGTATGTATGTATGTATGTATGTATGTATCACATTGAAGTGAGTTAAAAATGTCCTATTTGTTTCTTATCCTATTGTGGCCTTTTCTTTGTTTTGCATTTATGGGTGCCTAGGCTTTTATATAACTGGCTAAGGCATTAATGTCTTATGTTTAGGTCTTGTGTTTAGCCCAGTGTGTATCCTCTGCAAATGAATGAATAGATGGATGGATGATTGAAAAGTGATCAATTACTGGGTGGAACTATGAGTTGTTTTATTTCTGTTTTTGCATCCATACACACACAACCATGGGATAGAATACCATATTACATCCTGCATTAACGCTGAGATTGTATTGTCATGTTAAATATCTTTAAATGGAGAAGGACCTCTAGTCACCCATTCTCCATCCATAGGACTTATAGGCAGTTCTACTTACTGATGTGATTCTGTCCATCAGAAATGAGTTGTAATCGTATACAGGGAGAGGGGGAACTGTAGAGGTGGTGTTATCTTTGTCTCTGCAGTCTCCGAGCAGTGCCTGGCACTTAGGAGACAACAATTGTTTCATGAATACACAAATAATTCCCCAGATCTGGAGAAGAAGGGTGTCTCTCCTTGTCCTTGGATCCTTCCCTACTCCTTTATCCTTAGCATTTTTTTTTTTGACAAAGTGGGATGAGTGAGCATTCTTCTCACTGTTTCTACGGCAGGCAGGCAGGTCAAACAGAATAGCTCCTCTTAAATGGCAAGAAAATGACTTCCAATTTTCAGCACTAGAAGCTCCCCTCCCATCAAGAAAAGTATTTCAAATGGAAAGCCGTGTGCTCTAAATGACATTTATGATCCGAATTTTCGTTCTTTACTGATCATACATTTATCAAATGGCAGCTTACCACTCGTTCAGATTCTGTAGTTTTTCTGTAATAAGAAGGAAAACACTGCTTATCACTGGGCTCTTGGAAGACTAGGTAATAACTGGAATAGAGGAAAAGAACAGATACTTGTAGCAAAGAGAAGCAGCCATGGGGTAGTGGCTTTTGAGGACTAGGAAATGTGGACCCTACCTACCCACCTTGATTTAAGAACTAAACCCCTAGATAGGAATAACAGTATGAGATAACAATGCCACCTTTATCACAAGCCAATATGGGTCACCATTCAGACTCTGGATCAAATAGTAAGTGAGTGTGTTCACACTGCTCTGTGGGTGAGCTTACCCTTGTAGAGGTAGGTACCCCCTCTCTCACTGACAGCCTGAGAGTAGCCAGAACTGATACCCATAGCTTCCAGGTACACCTCAAAGAAACAGAGACAGGGACTGAGTGACCTGTGCCTTGTGACTTTCACAGGCATGCACATGAGATGACTATCCTCTCTCCACTCGCCCGCCTCAGGAGGGACTGTGAGCAGATGAAGAGAGGGCCTAGAACCATTCTAATGAAACCTTCCTGTGCCATGCAATGGGGAGGTAGCTTCCCTGCCCTTGTATGCTCTTCAGTGCTATCCCACCTGGACTTTTACGACTGCTTTTCATACTTTCTGATGTCGAACCCATGTGTATCTTCCAAATGAATGGATGAGACCTGAGTGAATCACTGAGTGGCATTATGAGTTGTTTGAATTGCATCCCGGCCACCATGCTGAAGAACTCCTGTAGAAGCAGTGAGAAAGTGGGTGTGCTTTCCTGTGAGTGTCTCCATCCAAACTCTTCCAGTTCTCTTCCACTACACATATCATCAAAGGTTCCTTCTTTCTTCTCTTTTGCTTAATTTCATTTTGTTTTCTAGTCCATCAGCTCTGAGTTACCTGTCTCATCAGCTCCTGTTGATCACTGTTTTTGAAAATAAGAATGGTGACTAGTTACTCATCACTGAAAATTCCTAGGGAGTGACTACATGAATAAGAAACCAGGCCTCAAA